GGCAACAAAATTTGTCAAAGGTATGTGATCCTGAAAAAAGAAAATGGGTTTATAAAACTTTAAAATATCTTCAGACTAATCTGGACGAAGAGGTATTTCAAAAAGAATATGAATTGTTTCTCTCTAGCTTAGACAATGACGAGGATACCAAAAGCATGCTTACCTATCTGTTAACTTACTACACATCAAATACATTCAAATGGGCATACTGCCACCGAAAAGGTTGTGGTATTAACACAAATATGCACCTGGAGAGTATGCACAAGGTATTAAAATATATATACCTTGAGGGTAAAAGAGTAAAGAGGCTGGATAAGGCATTGCATGCTTTGCAAAGGTATCTTCGTGACAAAACTCTTGACAGAATAATAAAAAAATTAAAAGGGAAAAATAATAAACATTTAAATCTAATTTCAAACAGACATAGAGATGCAACTGGAAACCCCGTCAATATAAATATGCTGTCAGAAAATATATTTGAGATTTCTGCAAATGATTGCAAATATTTAATACGCAAAATAAAACCAAATGTTTGTTGTGCATTAACTTGCAATATTTGCAATATATGTGTACACATGTTCGATTGCACGTGCCTGGACTATGCTATTAAAAGTACAATTTGTAAACATATACATCAGGTAAATTTATATTTGGAGACAAATCATACAAGCTTGCAACATGAAGTAAATACTGAAGAAGTTGCAAGTTTAGTTTCCAATATTGCTTCAAAAATTCCTGAAAAATCCCCACAAAAAATGTTGGATAAAATGAAGGCAGAGTTATTAAAATTTAGCAATAACCTAAATTCGCTGAATTATTCAAATGATGAAATATCCCACATGTTCAATATAATTTATAATAACCTAAAAACCTGCAACAACTTGGGCACTCATTCATCAATAAATAATTTTATACAAATAAATAAATCTCACCCACCAAACAAAAAGATTGAAAAACAAGTTTATTTTTCAACAAAACAAAAGAGTCGACCAAAAAATTATATTTCCAAACCTAATTCAAATGAGACCCAAGTGATTAAAGCAACCATAAACAAATCTCTTTTTATTTCTAAAACATCAAAAAATGACCACTTATATGATTAGATATTTTTTTTATAAGGGACTCTAACTTTTGTATTTTTGGTTCGTATGTTATAATTTCTGCATCAATAAAATGTGTTTAAGATTATTATAGTTCTTTATTTCATTATACTAACAAAATTTCATTCTATCAACAAAATTTAAATATCCCGCCATTAGCGGCCGTCATAGAAAACCCCGAAGGGGCCGTCAAATAAGTTGTACATTTGGCAACATGGTATTGTCCGGGTGCTACAATTAATCGTTGCTCTTTCGCGAACCCCATGCGAATTTTTATTATCCGCATGTCAAGTAAGCGCGTCCCAGCCGTCGAGTGAGTAAGTCGATGTAGCAGAGTCGGAGAGTAAACGTAAAACGATAAAACCATAACCAACAAATAAACCCTCATAGTGCAAACAACTATAGTGTAAAAAATACAGTGAGTACAGACTACTCTACGGTCAATAATTAGTTAAGGGCCAAGTGAAAAGGAAGAGAGAAGTGACAAGTGCAAACGAACATAGTGAAACGGTCAAAAGAGTGTTAAGTGACAAGAATGAGTTAAGTGACAAGTGTCAGTGCCTGAGCGGTCGCACCATCTGTCAACAGGATGATTTCCACTGGCCAAACAAAAGAGGCCATACAAGGGAGGAACAGGCCACCTGCAAATATTTGCCAAGTATCCTCAAATCATCAGCATGACCTAACACATAATTTGCAAATTAAACTAAACAAGGCACATTGCCTAATCCCTACTAAAAAAAACAATAATCATCGGAACAAATAAAATAAAAAGTCAATTTTCCAAGAAAAAACCAAACAGCCGATCGCGGACACACACCAAAGTTGAACAGGGCAATAAAGCTGTCAACATAACAATTCAAGTAAAACAAACCGAGACCAAATAAATTTGACACTTAAGACATAAACAACACATAAACTAAGAAAACATAAACAAAGTAAAAAAAAGCACTCTAATCAAACTCCATGGAATTTGTAAACACACTTGACTTTATAGTAAAAGTAAAAAAAATACCCCCCTCTGGGAACTGCCTTATCGCAGCGATTGCACATCAGCTGTTCAACACGGTGATAGGTTCGCTACGCGAAACTGAAACATCAGCAGACACTAGACAAATATTAAACAACCACTTACGTAATAACCTAGGAACGTACAGACCCTACATCGAGGACGCAATAAATGAACTAAGCAGTCGTTATGAACACATTGACAAAACAGGACAAATTAATGCGTACCTAAACGACCACGGTAATTACGGCTTCTGGGCCGGACTGGAAACAATACTAGCCGCCTCAGACGTAAACAACGCAACAACATACTACAAGCCACCCTTAAACTAGATCTTAAAGACAAAAAAGTCGGGAGACCATGCTTCACATTTCATGACACGTTAGCACAAAACATGCACTTCTCACAAATTAACAAGAACAGTTGAGAGCAACTAAGCAACAATAAAATCAAAATAAAAAAAACAACCGACATACTTTAACAAGTTCAGGAACTATCCGACACGGATAATGACAATAATGAACAAGACGAAGACCTCGACTAGGAAACTACACCCTGCAGCGTAATAACAACTCCCCAACTCCAAATAGTAATCCCAAATGTTTGGAGTAATATTAATCGACTGGTCTAGGGGGATTCCGCGTCGTACTTAGTTTTAAGTCGGCGTAATTGTCCCCCAAAAACCAACACCCTCCCGTCCCTTTTCCATGCCCCACTGAGCGTATAGCATAGGCTCGGCGAACCCGGGAATGGCTATTATAACTATTCGCCTCTCGCTCTCGAGCTCCAAATAGGGGACAGTACGGAACGCAATGGACATTTGCACCCAGCAAACACGGGTGAAGCCGTGAAGTTGCTGGGGAAGAACAAAAATCGGCGTAAGTAAACATAGGCCTGTACGGGGTTCGAGAGTCAAGAGGAAATGGGGCTGGTTATACGTCTCTTATACTCATACTCACTCATGTCAAGTAAGCGCGCGACGAGTCTCCCACTAATTTGGTTTAGTTACTATAGTACATGGTGTCACCATGATGGTGAGCGAAGAAGTAGGCCTGTCAACCTTTTTTCTTTTTTAAAATAATTCTTATCTTTGGGATCCAACAACTTTGGTAATGGTTTATAGTTCTCCACCAAATTAAGTAAAGTTCTTCGGACCACTCCATAATGAGCAATAATTTAGAAACAACTATCGCGCGCTCAGTCTCGTTGCAAACTAAATTTCGAACGAGCCTACCACAACCTCGTCCCACTACACACGCGCAATCCCTTTGATGGCACGTCAAAATACCGACAGAAAATGGATCGCCACGATCCTCCTTTGAGCGGCGCGTGGTAGACTCGCGAGCCCCGTATAAATATGCCGAACTAGGCTCGTCTTAATATATCAGTATACAGTGTGTCTCCGAATCGGATTTCCGACAGGAAAACTTTTTTAAACCTGATACAGCTAAACCGAGCACAGATTTGGAATTTACGACCAAAAATTATGTTTACATGTCCGAGCGTTTACCTAGGTAAACACAGCTGTGATATTTCAAAAGTTGAAAATTTACCTACAGTGTAATTGATATAGAATCAGTTTTTCACAGTAAAAGAGAAGAGAATGTTTTATGGGGACTGTACGCAAAATTCTTAACGCTCTATCAGTTAAATCTAATTAACTGCACTACTAAAGCAAAATCAAAAGGTTCATATACCTAATCCTTTCAAATATTGGAGTCAAGAAACCATCCCAGTAAGCACAAGCTAGCCGGCCCGAATACGTTTTGCCGAATCGACCGCGTGCGGCCCGACACATATATTTCTTCCGGCGTTTGAACGGGCATGTCCGCCTGGCCAACTGTCGAGCATATCCGCCTGGCCGAATGTCGGCTATGTGTACTCGGCCGAGTGCCGGCTACAACCGCCTGGCCATTCAAATAAGCCTACAGACGTCCTGGAGAGGTCTGGAGAGGTATATCCTTTAAGTTCAGTCCTGAAATTCTCTAAATGCCAAGATACTTTTTTAACACACTCGACTAGCTAGACATTATTCGTAATAGAGCAGATCAGGATAGAGATGGGGACTCCAAACAATTAATGTTCAGCTATGCCATTACGGACGCACACTTCCAACTAAATATTGCAACTAATCGCTATTTATAGTTAGCTCGCGTGCGTAAGCAGCCGTGAGATGTATCGCTTATGCCGCGGCAGGCCGCCCAGCCAACAAAGTCAAGGTAGTGCTACTAGTAGCAGAGGGTAGCGCTACCCTCTGCTACTAGTAGCACTACCTTGACTTTGTTGGCTGGGCGTATTCCAGCCGTAAGCGGGCCGGCTAGGGCAAGCCGAAGGATTTTGCAGCGGCATGCCCTATTCTGGCCGACTTCGGTTAGAACATGGCTAAACGATACCGGGGTAACATAACGCGGGCCGTAAGCGAGCCGGCTGGGGCAAGCCGAACCGCCGGTTAACCGCCTATGTCGAGCGAAGGCCGACTGTTTGCCGAGTGTTTGGTGCTTACTGGGATTAAATACCTTCTTATGTATTTTTGTATTCAGATAATAAAATAATTTTTAAATTTAGTATTACTTTACAACATAGGCATTTTATTTTAACGATTGTATGACATTTGACAACTATCAACTAACTTAAAACTAACTTCAGTCCGTGACTAAAAAGCTGTTGCTAACTTCAGCCAGAAAAAATATCTTCTGGTTTTGAATTAAAAAATGTGTTTGGAATTCAAAATTGTGATTTTGACGTTCTTAAATATGGTTTTTACATTATTAAGTAGTTTTAATTTTAACAAAAATGATTTAAACATTTAAAAATAAAAAAATAATAGCTAAATAATTAAGTTTTTTAATGTATCACCTGACAACACTGGAGTCTCAATTTTTGTGGACGTAGTGTATAAGCATCGTGACAGATGTCATCTGTCAAAAAGATGTTTTGGACGTGGGATTAAGTTGGACCGTTATCTATGATAACAAAAATCGTTATTTTAATTTGTTGTTTATAATGTTTTGATGTTATCTTTTTATCTAATAAAATGTACAGTGCCGTGAGATCTTCAAAAGTGAGCCAACCATTTAAAGAGGTATATAGGTTATGTTAATTATTTTTAAATGGACGATTTGCAGCAAAACCACAACGAAAATCAAAATTTTACCAGGCAAGGATCACTAAGGAAAGTTATTAATGAAGACAATAGTAAAAGTAATTTATTCGGCAGGCAAAATGAGGATCTTAACACTGTTTACCAGATGTATAGACAGGAATATGTTATTTTAGCCGAATTGTAAGTTTTGTAAATAATGTTTGGTTTGGTTATTTAATGGGGTTTATTTTAAGTAAAATGGTACAAACAGAGAACATAAATGGAGTTTATGTGATTCCGTCCAGGGAAAGTTCCCTTTGTAAGTAAAAAAAGTGTACCTATGTAATTATTATTTTTGCAATAAACGATTTTTAGTGTGGTTTGGAGTTATTTATGTAAGAAATGGGCCTTATGAAGACGGTGTTTTTCGCTTTAATGTAATTTTAGACGAAGATTTCCCAGATAGTGAACATCCAGTAAGAATAAACCCAAATTATACTCTATAACCTAATATTTATTTTTAGAAAGTTGTATTTCAATCAAAACTATTTCATCCTGTGATAAATCCAGAAACAAATGAGTTAAATCTATCAAATGCCTTCCCAACTTGGAGCAAAAATGATCAACATATATGGCAAGTTTTAAAATTTGTCCAGTGGATTTTTGAAAATTGCGATTCCTGCCAAACACATACAATAAATTCTGAAGCAATGGATTTACTAAAAAATAATAAGGAAGCCTTTATAATTAAGGCTAAAGAATTAGTAAAATTAAGTCAGAAACATTTATACGATGACCCCCCTACAGAAGATAAACATTACATAACCTTTTCACAGTACGACCCACAAACACATGATAAACTACAAAAACAAATGTTGAGCTACACAGGGGAGGATAAAAATACAAAAAAGGGTTTATCGTGGGTTTTGCCGGGAAGTTTGAAGCCCCTTGGTCGCCCCCCTTCCCCACATTCCGACAATGAATCATGACAAAGACTAAAATGTTTTTATTTCGAAATATCCGACGTTTTTTTATAGTATTAATTATTGTTAAGTTTTAACGAACAAATTTTAATAATTTTTTGAGACTTAAAGCAGTTTGCTTGTTGCCTTGCTATTTTTTATAAATATTTTAAAATTGCACAATATTTTGGTATGCCAGCTGAAATTATTATACACGTAGTGTAAAATAAATAGATTCATTTTATTAATTGGATAATAAAAAACAATATTTTAACAAGCACAAAGCAAATATGTAGGTGCAATATATTTATTAAATATGTAATCTATTTACAAGATTTAAAAAAATATTTTAAATAAACTATGAAAACCTAACAACTTATTTTATTTACAATATCCTTATACCAATTTTTCTCCAAAATATACTCAGTTCCCTCAAATTTAAACCTTGTTGGTGGATTATTTTCCCCATTGTCAAATTCAAAAAATTTACTAAACTCAATCGCCGTTTTCGATTGGACTAAACCTATTGATCCTGCCCTTTCCAAAGCTGGATGGTAAACTCTGCCAGTTTCAGGCATCATCACAATCTTTTCAGGCTGAAATTTTATTGATAGCAAATCCCCTGCATGGTTATATGCAAAATGTTTTTCAATATTTCCCTCCCTAGTTTTTTTGTCGATTACATGTGTAAAAACTATTGGATAGTCATCACATCTAATAAAATTACGTTCTTTACCACATATAGAAAGATATGGAAACTCTTTGTACCTATCTGTATCATTTAATCTCATCTGGTTGAAGAAAAATCGTAAAAATTTCTTCTCTTTGAAACACGAAGTAAAATTTTTCATCCTGGCGTCATCTAGAAATAACTAAAGAAAATAAATACATAAATTACCTAATTCCTGTTCCCTTACCATTCCCTGATGGTCAATATAGTAAAAATATTCCCGTATTTTTGCTTCTGGCTCTTGTCCCTGCACATACGTCGAAACATATTTTTTAAAGTAACTTTTAAGATATTTTGTGTTCTGCCACGTTCTTTTAATCAACATTATGATTAAATTCAATTAAACACACTTTTTAACGTTAATTACTAATTTGTTGAGCTATTTGGCAAACATAAAATAAAAAGCTTTTAAAATTTGTACTTTTAAACTAAAGTAAATCATACACGAAACGTTATTTTAATATTGAAATTTAAACATGCTAATGGCATCTCAGAACGGTGAAATTTGTTGTTTTCATAATTACTTTAACTATTTTATTATTAATGTTATAAAAACGTTCACAGTTAACTGTTATTTAAGAGATTTTTAATATATTTTACAACAGTAGTGTATGATTTACTTTAGAAATACAAAATCTTCCATGACAGCAAGCAATCTTGCCAGATTTGCAATAATACCAATATTTTAATTTTATTGACGCTTTCCAGTAATAAATCGAATTTAACCATAATTAAAAAACATTTAAAATATAAACCAAATAAAATTCCCTGAATAGGCTAAAATCGGCGATTAAAATTTAAAATTAAAATCCCCCGCGTTGTTAAACGTCACTTTTGACACCGGCAACGTTGACTGCCGATTAGATCGCGCCTGCGCAGTGACAAATTTGCTGTCAAAGCGTCAAAAAGTAGTGCTTGCGTTTTTTGATTCCATTTTTAATTAAGGCAAAATGGGAAGATCGAGATCGAGGAGCAGAACGCCCAAAAGGCACCACAAAAGCAAACATCACAAACGCAGCAAATCGAGGGACAGATCGGAAAGAAGTACGAGTTCGAAATGTTACAAGATTATCGATAAGCCGAAGGAAAGGAGCACGAAATCAAGGTAAGCTTTGGAAAGTGTAAAGATGCTGATTGTTTACTGTTTTTGAGCTAAAAGCTTTGCCCCATCAAGAGTCATGGATTAGTTATAGGCAATCAAATGTCCTGAAATATCAGAAACAATACACAACTGTTTGTTTGAGATTTGATTGGTTTTTAGGAAACGGACGAATTCCGTATCTTCCACCACCAGCAGCGAAGTGTCCATAGACTTGACAAAAAGCGACAGACACGCCAAAAAGTCAAGAATACAGAAAATGGATGAAGTTGAACGTCTTGCCGAAATGGAAAGACAGAGGAGGCAAAGAGAGGCAGAGCAAAGACTTGTCGAAGAAGAAACTGCAAAAAGAATAGAGGAATTAGTTAATAAGAGAGTTGAAGAGGAGCTGGAGAAACGTAAGGATGAAATCGAACGGGAAGTAAACAAAAGAGTGGAAGAGGCCAAGAGGATAATGGAGAAGCAAATGATGGAAGATTTGGAAAGAAGACGGGAAAAACTAAAAGAAGAAGAGAAACGTAGAGAGGTAAGAGTAAAATTTCGGCCGCCGGCCAACGTTTAATCTCATCCAAAAAAAAAAACTTGTTATAATAATATTTTTATTTAATAGAAAATCTATTTTTTGTCAACTATTGTTGTGTTTTGTCGAGTTTATCATCGTTATGTTTTTGTAAGTGAGTTTATTTGCTTACAAGGGCATTGTGTTTTTTTTATTTCTACTATAGAGACTAACTTCATCGAGGATTAAGTGATTATATTATAAGTGACAATAAAGTTGGAATCAACTATGATTTTTGTTTTCTATTCTTTGACTTCCTATTTAAATTTAATTGTACTTTTATGGTGCATCTGTTAAATACATTACTTGGCTGAAAATGTATTTGATTGATTTACTGCTTAAGTATGGAAGTTGGGGTGGGTCAAAATTTTCCAAACTAATTACTAAATTACTATTTACTAAAAATTCCCAATTTGACATTTGAATAAGGTTAGTCAAACAATTTAGGTTATGTATCTGTCAGTTAAACGCCAATTTCATCTTATTTTTTGAAAATACATTCCCTAAATGTAGGTATTTTTTGTGTTATAAATTTAAACTTTTATACACAAAAAATACTTATATTTTATTATTTTTTAAAAATAAGGAATTAGCGTAAAACTGACAGATACAGACTACATTCTTTATTCAAATGTCAAATCAGGACTTTTTGATGTGAGCATAGTGGTTGAATTCTGAAAATACAATTTTGAAATTATTAACATTAAATTAATTATTAATTCAAAATAAATTTTACTGAGTAGGAATACTTGAAATATAGGCAAAAATCAATACAGAAGTTTGATAAAAAAATTAATAATTATAAATTTTATTTTTATTTAGACAATATTAAGATTTTTTGGTTTAGGATGTTTTTATTCAGTTTTTTTTTAGTTTTAACAAATTTCAGTTATTTTAAGAAAATTTCTTATAGTTTTTTTAATAGTTTTAAAACAATTTAGTTAGTTATAAGATAGTTTTAGGATATTTGAAATATCATATTTCAGGGAGTTTTAAATAGGGATAGCATGACATAATGTATTTGCATTAATAAATTAATTAATTCGTGGGTTAAATCAAGCGACTTCTTTAAAAAAAGTCAAACAAAATTAATTGCAATTAAAAATATAAAAAAAAGGATCCAATTCGAAAAAATTCCGAAACACGTATCTATTAATTTTTTGTAACAAAACAAGACCCAATTAATTGTTGAACTAAATTTTAAATTATTTTTCCATTTTTAAGTTTGTACCTATTTTGTAAATTATATTAAATTGGAAAAAAAGAAAATATTTAATTATGACTTTTTTTCATAAGTCATGATGTTTTAACCCTGGTTTAAAACAATTCAAATAGTTCTAAAATAGTTTTATGATTTTAGGACATTTAACAGTTTTAAGGCGGTTTTAAGACATTAAAACAATTTTGTTATTAAAAATTAGTTTTTAATAACGTTTTAGGGTATTTAAAAAATATATATATCATTATATAATAACAACAAAAAATTACCTTTTGCACAGGCTTGTTTTAACCTAATAAACTTAAATAAAAAAAATAATTTACAATTTTTTAATTATTCAACTATCGCCCCAACTTCCTTAAATTAAGCTACTAAACTTCAGTTTTGTTGCTACATAACATAATGTAGTTGCGCTAAATAAACTCTAGACTGTGGGTCGAAAAAAATTAACATAGGAAAAAATGTAGAGAAAAAATGCCGATAAAGTCATTGTAATTAATATAATGCAACTGGCGTGTAAGGGTCTTCAGTGAGCAAAAAACGTGAAGCGTAGGTGTGTAATTGGAAGCAGGAGCTAGGAGTCAAGACGACGCGCTCAGGTATTATTAAATCTTTTTTTATATATTTACTTATATTTACCTTTTAAGTACCTCTATGAGCAGGATTTGTATTTTTACACCCAACTGGTCCAAGCCTGGGTGAGAGACAACCCCAACAGAATCGTTAAAACGCAAAGAAGATTTGTTTGTAAAACTTTTAGCACTTGATGATATTTTCGTAGCAAATAAATCCTCTTTGTCAAAACTTGCACTTTAATTTTATCCAGACATTTCCCAAAGAAAGATCAATAAACCAAAATTAAAATGCAATTTTTCCTAATCCGACAGTATGAATGGTTTGTGGATGATTTTCTATCTTTTAATACAATTATTTTTTAAATATTGTATTGCAGATACAGAGCGTTTGTGGGGTAGGACCGGCCGTGTAAAAGTTGAAATTTGTTTGTTAATTTTGTTAAATGTTTTATAGGAAGAAGAAATGCGGAAGCAAGAAATGGTCGAGAAGATCATGGAGGAAAATCAACGGAAAATCGAGGAAGCACAAAAAAAACTGGTAGGAAGCAACATTTTGTCAATTATTATTATTATTTTTTTTCTAATGTATACGCTAAAGAAGCATCGCTAGTAGCGCCACCACGTGACCAAACTACAAATTTTAATAATCAGCTGTCAAACGTTAAACATATGTTAAAAATATCGAGAGAAAAAACGTGGAACGATTTGTTGTGTTGGGTGTTTTTCTAGAGAAAATCCTGGGTTGAGTTTTTACCGGTTTCCCAATAAACTGTGGAAATCCGAATGAAGAAATAAATTTCATACAGTCCCTGTAAATATAAATTGAACCTATCATAAAACAAATAGGTTGTCTAAATTCAAACGGCAGGTTTTTCCATTTCAAATCGACTAGGAAAATGGGGTAGGTCGTTATTTTTCAACAATTTTTTTTAAGTCTCTCTACCAAAATCAATGAGACCCGTATTTTTTCTTTTTGCTTAAATTTGTTTTCTTTTCTCTTTTTACAAGTGACATTTTTTCTTGAAATTGCCAAAAATGTTTCGATTGTTACATTTTTTTTTAATTGTTGGTAAATGTTTACAACATACAAAAAAATATAGAAAGTTAAGTGAATTCACTCAATTTTTTTTAAATTGTTTTTTTTTCTAAAAAAATCCAAAAAATTGAGGTAAAAATTTTGACATTGCCATATTTTTTTCTACTTTTCTACCAAATTTTTGCGATGAACCACGAATTTACTAGAAAGTGGCATTTTCATTAACAAAATAATAATTCCGAAACGACGAATTTAGCCAACTTCGAGGCCAACTCGGGACGGGTGAAAGTTGCTCATATTATCAACTCCAAACAAAACAAAATTTTGACCTCAATTTTTTTTGCATTTTTTAGGAAAAACAATTTAAAAAAAATTTAATGAATACACTTAATTTTTTATATATATTTTAAACAAAAACGATCGAAACATTTTTGGCCAAGTTGTGTATTATATACAGGGTGTTTCTTTTAACTTGAGACAGCTCAATATCTCGAGAAATACGCATTTCACGGAAAAATGTCTTAAATAAAAGGTTAATGTGACCAAAGGGGACATTATTTGGTGCTACCGCTAGCCACCCCCAACCCCTCCTTAAGGGTGAAACGGGGGGTAACTTTGGAAAGTCAAATGGAATGACCCGATTTTTTTCACAGATTTTAGTAGTACATAAAAAAATGAATAACTTTTATTTGAAAGTTTTTTTCAATTTATCAACAGATGGCGCTGTAATTCAAAATTTAAGAAAAAGGGGTTTCCTTGTAAAATGTATTATTTGAAACGTTTGAAAAACAAAAATTAACATTAAATCAACAATAGTCGGCTCTGAAAACAATTTATAACAAATGTTCGAAATGTCGTCCTTCCATTTCGACACCAAGTGGAGCACCAGCGTCCCTGGTC